CAATCCCGCCGACGACGGGCGCCTAGCTCATCACGGCCGCCAACACCAGCGCGCTCTCCGACGCCGACGAACGAAGACGACCTCTGCTGGTACCATCAGCGGTTCGGCAGCAGGGCACGCCGCTGCGAATCGCCATGCAGTTGGGCGGAAAACTAGGCGGCCCCGCGCTCTTGGCGCAATGCGCGGGCGCACTTCCCACCGCCGCGCCGCTCCTCTTCGTGCGGGACACGAAGACCAATCATCAATTTCTGATTGACACCGGAGCGCAGGTCAGCGTGCTGCCACGCCGCTGCCTACCCAAGAAGTCCACGCTGACCCCTGCTCCTGCCGGCCAGCAGCTCGTCGCGGCAAACGGCTCGCCAATCGCCGTCTACGGCACCTGTCTGCTGGACGTCACGTTAAGCCGCCATCACAGCCTGAAGCACCGATTTTTTATCACCGATGTCACCACACCGATCCTGGGCACCGACTTCTTGGCCGCACACCAGCTCGTCGTCGACGTCGCCAGCCAACGCCTCCTGCGAGACGGCACCGTGTGCGCCAGCGCCCAGCGGTCACGACTGTGCTCCATCGGCGTGCGCCTCATCCACGAGCAGGCTGCTGCTCGCTATGCCGCCGTCCTCGCCCGCTACCCGGACGTAACATCGCCAGCGCCCGGCCCGGCACCAGTCAAGCACAGTGTGACACACCATATCGTCACCACCGGGCCGCCAGTGCACCAGCGGCCACGGCGACTACGACCAGACCGGACACACATCGCCAAAACAGAATTCGACAAGATGCTACGGCAGGGCACCATCCGCCCGTCCAGCAGCAGCTGGGCCTCGCCTCTCCACATGGCGCCCAAGAAGTCTCCCGGCGAGTGGCGCCCCTGTGGGGACTACAGGGCGCTGAACGCCCGCACTCTGCCGGACCGGTACCCGCTTCCCTACCTGCGAGACTTCTCGGCCGACCTGCACGGGTGTGCCGTCTTCAGCACGATCGACTTGGTGAAGGCGTTTCACCAGATACCCGTGGAACCTGCCGACGTCGCCAAGACCGCCATAACTACACCGTTCGGCCTCTACGAATGCGTCCGGATGCCATTCGGCCTCAGGAACGCTGGACAGACCTTCCAGCGTTTCATGGATGAGGTCCTCCGCGGCATACCGGGCTGCTTCGTTTACCTCGACGACATCCTGCTTGCCAGCCCGACTGCCGAACACCACCTGCAGCTCCTGGACCACGTACTTCAGCGCCTCAACACCTACGGCGTCGTCGTCAACAGGCACAAGTGCGTCCTGGGTCAGCAGCAGGTGGTGTTCCTCGGCCACTCGGTGGACGCCGACGGCGTCCGCCCGCTGCCTGGACGAGTCGAAGCCATCAGGAACTTCCCAGAGCCGACCACGCAGTCCCAGCTGCGGAGGTTCCTGGGGATGGTTGCGTACTATCACCGCTTCGTCCACCGGGCCGCCGAACTCTTGCAGCCCCTGCACGCCCTGCTCACTAACAAGGGCAAGAACTCCAAAGCGCCCGTCGCGTGGACGAACGCGACACGCCAGCGCTTCCGACACATCAAGGACGCCCTGGCCGCGGCGACGCACCTCGCGCACCAGGTCCCGGACGCGCCGCTCGCCCTCTTCGTCGACGCCTCAGACTGCGGAGTGGGCGCCGTCCTCCAACAGCACGTAGCTGGCGAGTGGCAGCCGCTAAGCTTCTTCTCTAAGACGCTTCAACCTGCAGAGAAGAAGTACAGTACGTTCGGGCGCGAGCTGCTCGCCATCTACCTGGCCGTCCGACATTTCAAGCATTCTATCGAAGGCCGGTCGGCAATTGTCTTTACGGACCACCGCCCGCTGGTAACGGCCGTCGGCTCCTCTTCCGACCGCTACTCACCACGAGAGGTCCGCCACCTGGACTACATCGGCCAGTTCGTGTCGGACATCCGCCATGTGCCTGGCAAAGACAACGTGGTCGCCGACACGCTGTCGCGCACGGTCTCGATGGTGGCCCAGCCGCGCCCCCCGCTCGCCGACTTCACTGCCATCGCCAAGGCCCAGTCCGAAGACGGCTCGCTGGAAGAACTCGAGGCCTCAGACACCTCACTGCGCCTGCGCCACATCCCGGTCGGCGATGGACTCCGTCTGCTCTGCGACGAGTCCACCGGATCGCCTCGGCCGGTCCTCCCAGAGGCGCTGCGCCGGCCCTTCGCCAAGGCTCTGCACGACCTGTCGCACCCTGGCGTCGAGGCCACCGTCAAGATCGTCTCCAAGCGGTTCGTCTGGCCCGGTATGGATCGTGACGTGCGCCGCTGGACCCGAACCTGCCTCGCCTGCCAGCGCTGCAAGATCGGCCGGCACACCAAGTCCGACGTCGGCACCTTCCAGCCGCCTCAGCAACGCTTCGACCACGTCCATGTAGACCTCGTCGGTCCGATGCCTCCATCAAGAGGCCACTCGTACCTTCTGACGTGCGTCGACCGGTTCACTCGGTGGCCAGAAGCCATCCCGCTGCCAGACATTCGCACCACCACGGTGGCTCGAGCCTTCCTCGAGCACTGGATCGCCAGGTTCGGTGTTCCATCCATCATCACCACCGACCGCGGCGCTCAGTTCGAGTCTGCCCTCTGGTCGGAGCTTCAGCGGTTCCTCGGCTGCCAGCGGACTCGGACAACCAGCTACCACCCGGCCTGCAACGGCATGGTCGAGCGGTTCCACCGTCAGCTGAAGGCCAGTCTCCGTGCCCACCAAGCTGCCTCGTGGACAGACGTGCTGCCGCTGGTCATGCTGGGCATCCGCGCCACCATCAAGACCGACCTGCAGGCGTCCCCAGCTGAACTGGTATACGGCTCTCCACTGCGACTCCCAGCCGAGTTCTTCGACAGCAGCCGCACAGCAGACGCATCACCAGCCTCCTTCGTCAAGGACCTGCGACGCGCCATGGCTCAGCTTCGACCCACTCTGCCACGGACAACCAAGCGCGCCACGTACGTCCCGGAGGCGCTGAAGACGGCAAAGTACGTTTTCGTTCGGCGGGACGACCACCGTTACCCTCTGGACGCACCGTACGACGGCCCGTTCCCAGTCATCAACAGGACAGACAAGACCATCACCATCCAACGGCGACAGCGACGCGATGTCATCACCATCGACCGTTGCAAGCCCGCCTTCATGGACGAGGTGCCGGATCAACCTCAGGAGCAGCCACAGCGCGCACCTGACGTGCAGTCATCGGCCGCCCAGACAGGCGGCCCGGAGCTCCTACTCTATGACGACACTCCGGCGGCCGCACGTCCTGCACCGCCAGCAGCGCCAACACCACGCCCGGCGCCAACGGAAGCACCAACAACACGACCGACAACACTGCGACCAGCAGCGCCATCGCGGCCAGCATCGACCACGGACATCACCACGCCAGCACAGCCCAGATCAATTCTCCGCACTCGCTCCGGACGCGAGTCACGACCACCGGATCGATTTCGACACGTCACCTTCATCGGCGACGCGTCTAGGGAGGGGGCAGTGTAGTGACGAGCTGTGCCCGATCGCGTAGTGTACATATGTTATGTTTGTTTGTTTGTTTATGTTTGTTGTCATATGTTTGTATCGTGTATATATTCTCTGTACCTAATGTGTCCGCCACTGCGCGTGTGGACCTACAGGAACTGTGCGCCGTTCTACATGATAGCGCATGCGCACTATTCGTTACCACTTGGTACTGTTAGTACAATGGTCGCCCAATTGTGTGCAAATACATTCGACTTCTAACCGGAGCAGGACTTTGAAGAAGAGAGGCGAAGGAAGACGGAGGAGGCTGAAGGCTGACGACGGAGAGACACACGCACAACCGACCTTCAAGGTCGCACCGAGCTACGGTCGAGCGAGGTGGGCAACACGCCCTTAAAGACGCCTCTGATTGTAGCCACGCCGGTACCCCTGGTCGGACCCGGTATACTGACACGGACCTTGCCACTGGCTCTGGCTCAGGCTGTCTTAGCGGACACGCCTGCCCGTCCAGACGCTCTCCTAAGAGCGAGTGCTCGGCTACCGCCAGTCTGCCGGGCCCAACAGCGTTCTGCTGACACCCGCCGATACCGCTCGCCGCACCGCAAGTGCCGCAGCGATTCGGGCGCTCCAGGCGAGCGTAACGGGAGTCACACCAGTCCGCGCCGCCAGGCTCTGCCCGCTGTTGTATTCACGGACGGCCCTTCTTTAGATTGCTGACACAGATTCCGTAGATTGCACAGATCAGCAGGCCGTCCGTAGAATTACAAGCGGCTTACATAGGCGACCACCGTTACGCTTAGAGAGCTACAGCCTACAAATGTGGTTGGAGGGCGCCCGAGGGAGCCCTCCAACCGTATTTGGAGGGCGTATTTGGAATGGGCGTCCTCCGAGGGCGCCCTCCATCCGTATTTTCCCTGTAAACACATTCGCGATTGGAGGGCGCCCTCCAGTCGCGATTGTTTTTCGATTCGATTATATCACAATTGCATTTGCGATTGGAGGGCGCCTTCGGCACCCAAGGGGGGGGGGGCCATGGCCCAGTGGCCCCCCCCCCTGCCTACGCCCCTGCAACCGACCGATCGCTTTGAAAGTTTCAGCGTTTAATGAGGGCATCAGTACGCAAAAAATGTTTATCGAAGAATTTTGATAGGTATCGATTATCTTAGGTCAGGTCAATCTTGTGCCCGCACTCCATAATAAGTCAACCGGAGAAAACTACACTGATCTTTTTTTGAACGAAAGTCATTTTTAACAGCTCTCTAACATCGTGATACAGGTAAGAATGACACACTGAATCGCGACATTGCACCCGTGATCGCCCGTGATCCCTCTTTATGCCCTTGTTTATGCCCCTGAGATCATATTCACAAAAAGCTCACCCACAATTTTTCCATTATGCTTTTGATAGAAGCGTGCATAACGTGATTAAAACACCTTACCTTAGATGTGTTGGGATCGTTGGGATACGCATGAGTAAACAAAACAACAAAAACACAGCACACAATTACTACTCACCTTTCCAGATAGATGTTCTTCAACTATTGTAGTAGAAAATGTAATTTTGGTAATGTTTTCGTCTTCGATGCGCTGAAAGATTAGTCCACTTCATTGACGTAACTCACACTAAGTTGTTGGTCTTTATTAGCGATATCTTTTTCATTTAATCTACACTAGATTGTAAGTCTTCATTGGAAGATACCGATGGACATAAAACGAGTCCAATATCTCGCCGTGAGTGCTCCAAAGTACATCTTCTCCGACCAGTCACCACCGTTGTGACGCCGTCCTCTCCTTCCTGCTGTCCTGCTCCACTGGCGGGGGGCAGCACACACCCCTGCGGTACTGGGAGGAGTCAGTGGACACCCCACAGCGTTCCAGACACCGTCACCGGCCCAGCCTGGCTAGTCCGACCACAGTCCCCGTCCCAGCCCGACTGCCTGCACCCGGCGCCGGCCGCGGCGGCAGCCACCGAGAGAGAAAGTGATGCCGAGACTGGCAGCCGCCTCCGATACGAATACACCACGCTGGTTATACACAGCTCGTGAGATTTACAACAAATCAGCTTTGTCGAATGTTACAGTTGTTGCGCCCTTAAACCTAAGTTCGGGTCCTTTCCTATGCTGCGGGCGGCTAGGTGGTTGGAGGGGGATGAGTGTGTGTGTGTGTGGGGGGGGGGGGGAGCTGGGGAAGGGGGGCAGTATTGTTGCTGCAACCCTTCACTCTGGTGATCGCCTACTACAGTACCCTTGAAAACATAAATTAACCTGATAGGCGATCCCTTCAAAAATCTTACGGCAGTGGGCACTTCGTGTATCTAGGTGGGAGGTCTTGTCTTAAATGCATAAAAAATCGTTTGGTGCTAACCTGACCGTAACCTGAGGCCAACACCCAAGTTGACCTCACCTAAATAAAAAATATCATTCGACGCGCCTGAGCGAGGCAAACACGATGCTGCCAAAATCGCGGTTCTGCGACCGTTTTTTGCGAAGTTATTAACCAAAAACGGAACCGTACCTTGGGGCACTTGACCTGAACTCAGATGTCACCGGTTGACCTAGGACCTTAAAATCGGGTATCAATCTCTGTGTATCGTAACGGCGTACACGCTCGTTTTTTTCCGCGACGAGCTTCACAGGGGGCGAAACGGCGAGGGGGATCGTACTCCCCCCCCCTCGGCCGGCGCGTATGTAGAAAACCAATAGGTCCGGCCAGGGATAACCCCCCCCCCCCCGGGCCCGGCCGGGTTAATTTGTGCCAAAGCTAGGTCCTAAAAACATGAGAGTTGCAAACCATAAGTTTTGCTTACTTGAGAATGACTGACAAATTAGAACAGCATCGCTACAGTGTACATATCTACAGTGTAGGCATCTCTCATATATACGGCGACCTTTTGTTAGCTGACTCGCAATGCTCCTAAGTATTTTAGCTGGCATCGTTTTACTCAAGGCCAGAGATCAGTATCTGTCTCGCTTTTAGGATCGGACAAAGTTCGCTTTACTAAATAAGCTGCGTTGAATATAAGCCAAATCATTTCACAATCCGAAGTTAATACATTTTGATATGCTCTGTTATTGAATTAACACCATGTCAAGACGAAAATGGACCAATAACAAATTGTTAAATTGAGCATCTGAAGACAACGAACAAATACGTCCTTTCATTTACTACGCAGATGCAGCGAGACTCACACTCGGTAACAGATGGCCTGACGCATCGGCCCGATGAAATCGAACGTAATTGCGCTCACGCCGCTGGTTTGGTCACCGCTCGCCGACGGGAGCTCACGATAGCCGCCACAGGGCGGTGGAAAGTCGCCGGTGCGTGGCAGCGCTCGCTCGTGGCGCCCGCAGCCTTACAAACGAGGGATGGATATAAATGGAAAGTGCCACTGAGAGTGATAGACTGGCGCATAGTTTTGATACTTATGAAGTTCAAACGTCACGTCTCCAAATGTTATCATATACACACTGTCACATTGCAGCGCTCTCAGATGCATAAATGTGTGCATGTCTCGTGAACTGAAAATGCCAGAAAATGGTTAAAAACAAATGAATAAATTTAAAAACAAGAAAATATTCACTCAGGAAAGTGAGTTTTTCAGTTCAGAAAAGACTAGACAGTCAAACTAGATATAGTTTCTCAAAGCAGTTTCACAAGCGTTTCTTATTATTTGACGTACAGTCACCAGCACTTGCTACTAATCACCTCGTTTTTGTTCAGTAGTTTGAACACCGATCAATTATCAGTCGCCCAAGATACGTCAAACAATGCATTTGGTCCTCCGATTTACGAATATCTAACTTGTTTTTGTATATTCGAAGCATTTTGGGATGGGGAGCCAAAAAACCTCTTTTCTGCCCTAAAGTGTGCCCCAAGAAGTCGTAGAACCTAGCCCCGCCTCTGATCCACAGACCACTAGTGCCATCTCTTGTCAGCCGAACAAGCCGCAGAAGTAAATAATGCCACGTGACCTTTGCACACGCTACAATTACTACGCAGCTGTAGTGGGGGAAGCGGGGCGGAGGCGTGGAGGGGGACGCGATCGGTCGGCTGGGGTCAGGTCGCCGAGGTCAGAGGTCATCCGCCGGAGGGTGTTTGAGCGGTTGGGCCGTGTGGGCTGGGGCCTGCGGAGTGGGGAGCGCCTGGACCTGTCTGGTAACAAGCCCTATAACGCTGTGACAGTCGAGAATATTGTGAGGAAAGAGAGAAAGAGAGAGAGAGAGAGAGAGAGAGAGAGAGAGAGAGAGAGAGAGAGGGAGAGAGAGGGAGGGATATAGAGAGGGAGAGAGAGGAAGAGAGAAAGAGAGAGAGAGAGGGAGAGAGAGAAAGAGAGAGAGAGAGGGAGAGAGAGGAAGAGAGAGAGAGAGGGAGAGACAGAGAGAAATAGATAGAGAGAGAGAGAGAAAGAGAGAGGGAGAGAGGGAGAGCGAGAGAGGGAGTGCGTAGAGAGAGAGAGAGAGAGAGAGAGAGAGAGAGAGAGAGAGAGAGAGAGAGAGAGAGAGAGAGAGAGAGAGAGAGAGAGAGAGAGAGAGAGAGAGAGAGAAGAGAGAGGGAGAGCGAGAGAGGGAGTGCGTAGAGAGAGAGAGAGAGAGAGAGAGAGAGAGAGAGAGGAGATGAGAGAGAGGAGAGAGAGAGGAGAGAGAGAGAGAGAGAGGGAGAGAGAGAAGAGAGAGGAGAGAGAGAGAGAGGGAGAGAGAGAGAGAGAGAGAGAGAGAGAGAGAGAGAGAGAGAGAGGAGAGAGAGAGAGAGAGAGAGGAGAGAGAGAGAGAGAGAGAGAGAGAGAGAGAGAGAGAGAGAGAGAGAGAGAGAGAGAGAGAGAGAGAGAGAGAGAGAGAGAGAGAGAGAGAGAGAGAGAGAGAGAGAGAGAGAGAGAGAGAGAGAGAGCTAAGAAAGACTGGAGGGAAGGGATAAGGACAGGAGGAGAGAAAAGAGAGAGAGAGAAAACTGAAAAGGAAAACCAGAGAGGGTAAAATGAGAATGAGGGCAATGGGTAAATCAGTGAGAGGGAGCGAGAGAGGAAATATTTAGTTGTGTCAGCTTGTTTCACATGTAAAATGCCAATTTGCTTTCCATCATTACAGCTTCGGATTGGAAATTAAATCTTAGCATCCTTGTGATAAACCCACGTTGACGGGATGCAGTAGCGGCGGAACACCTTGAATTAAGGGGGGGGGGGGGGGCTCTGCCGAATTTTGGTCCTATTATTTCCATGCAACGCTCATAGGGCTAATGTTGAAATGCCAAAATCAAAGGGGGGCACGGTGCCCCGGTGCCTTCCCCGTTCCGCCGCCTATGACGGGATGGGGACGCTTTTATGGTCGTCGTTGGGAGCTCGGCACTAATGGGATCTGGGGATGATGTTGAAGGCTTCGCAAATGTTTCATAAAAGATGCTATTTTTTGCACAACCTATTAAACATTTTTTTTACCTTTGCTATGAAAATGTTAGGCCCAGTTGCAGTTCCTTCAAGGTTAGGTCCACGACTCCACAGCTTACAACAGGAGCTAGCTAACATGAACAATTAACCCGCGCCGTGTTGGTGGCATGAACTTTCCATCGAGTGCTGGGGGGGGGGGCGTTTTACGCCCCTCCGTCTTCCATCGAGTGCTGGGGGGGGGGGGCGTTTTACGCCCCTCCGTCTAACTCGGCTCCTGGACCACGTAGCGACACGCGGTAAGCGACAATCGAAAGAGCGTCAAAAATAAAGAGGAAACACTCGGTCATTGTAAGGTCAGGGCAAAGGTCAGGTCACCTGGGTTCATCAAAGGTCAAATTTTGTTGATTTCAACGATTTCGAACACCCGACGGCTAACTCGGGAACCAATAGAGCTACAGCGCCGCGGAAAAGCGCATTCGATAGCTCTTTTAACGCTTTTAAGCCAACATGTCCTCAAATTTGACCTCAGATCAACCGTTTAGCCCCCAGAGGGCACCGCTCTGATTGACCTCAAATTTGACCTCAGATCAACGGTGTTTTCACCGCTCTAGCACGTCTCTGTCAAAAGTAAAAAAACTGCTGAAGACCTTTTATGTCCTAAAATGACCTCAGGGGCACACACAGGGGTCACAGGTGCAATTTTCCGATTCAGTGTGTCATGTTTACCTATGAACCGATGCTTGAGAGGGTGTAGAACGAAATTCGTCCAAAAGAGGCACATTTCAATTTTCTCCCATCGACTTATACCTAATGGAGCAGTCGCAAAACTGACCTGACCTTAGGTCACAGACATAAAAAATCCGAGGTATCCATTTTATAACTGTTACCCTTAGCAATTACTGAAAGTTTTAAAGTGATCGCTCAGTCGGTGTAGCTACAACAAGCTTTCGAATTTTTTCTGAGGTAAGGTCACAATAAGGTGAGAGGATTGAGGTAGGCTTGTATCGGATTTTCTTCTGCTTGTCGGTAGTTTAGGTTGAAGTTAATTTCGCGAGCTGTCCATAATCATTCAAGAGGAAAAATTCAGCTGCATATCGCTCGGGTCAAAGTAATACCAAACATTCTCACATTTTATAGTAAAGAGCCAGTAGTCTACGAATATATTCAAAAAACAATTAGAAAAAGAATAAGCGGACCGGTTTCGTCTATCAAAGACTTCTTCAGCGCTTTTTCAAAAACGTATAAGAAGAAAACTAGTACAGTGACAATCGTTTGAAATAAAATTGGATTCAGTAAGAACTAAGAACTTCATTGTCCGAAAACCGCTGACAGTTGATAGCTCAATGACATTTAGAGCCGTGCATAAGGAGGCGTGAAAACACTCCTCATCTCGTTCTATTACGAGAGGACCATGTCATGGCGTGAGAAAGGTGTTCTCAAAATAAATGACACTGTATGAGTGAATAAATATTCCGGGCCCCCTTGGGCTATTGGCGGACTCTACCACCTGATCGGGTGGTGCAGCCGTTTCGCCCTCCACCTGAGATCTCGGAAGGTTACCGACAGATTTTAAACATTCAAAGAGCGTTTGATAGCCCACCAGGG